CTACTCTTTTCCTCTTACAATATGCAGCCTATTACAAACAAGAATGCTGTTGCTGGACTTGTTCATAAATATGTTCAGAGCTTAGTCTGGATTATCAAAAGTAATGACACCAATATCCTCTTCCTTTACTACCTTTATTTATTCTTTCTAAAGATTAATTTGGAAGACTACTTCTTCCAACATAACTTGCTGTTATGTTTATTCAGGGTATTTTTCTCTTATGTTTGCTGACATTAAGTTTTATTTGATGCATAATGTACTGCCAGCTGATGGTCAGTGTTTGTTAATCCTAATAGAAAAATCCTACTTGCATGCTACCAACTTTTGTAAGGAGAAACAAACAACAGACATAATTGAAGTAGCCATCAAGTAGTTGTTAAGTAGAGCAGAACTTTTATCTGTATTATGCATCTTTAATTTGACAACTTGTCTTTTCATAAGCACATAGTTTAAAAGAATAGTAGGTTTAGAAAATAACTAAGCATGGAATTCTGGCATACTGTAAATACAAAAGGCAAGCCTGTATGGCCCTGGCACCCTTTGTCTCCCAGCTAGAGACATTAGTAATGGCTAATGGGAATCAGTCACCTTAAGAAAGGAATATGATCAGGTATTATCAAGCAAAGATGCCAGTGCTAGTTCTTCCTGAAACAGGGCAGTCATTCTGACGACAAGACACACACACACACCCCTACCCCATGAACTTAGAAAATGCTCAGTTCTCCTAAATACAGCTATTCTCAAGGTAGAGGTAACACTAACCTATTTGACAGGGTATAAAGAATGACTAGTTCAGTTTCACAGGGTGAAATGGTCAGTATTGTTGTTATATTTTGAAATACAGTTAAAGAGTTATATTGATAACCCTTTTCCTTCATTTATGATATGAAGTCCATGAATTTCAGTAATCTTTATTATAACACTTCTACAATACAAACTTTCAGAACAGCAAGAGAAGAAGAAGATCCCATCAGTTGGGCAAATAGTGTTCCCACAATGTAAATCAGTAAAATAAACACAGTTTTTGAACATGCATCTCAGTGCTTGCTGAATTGGAAAATTTTGTATGAGTAAAATCAAGAATGCATTTACAGTGCATAAACTGTGCACATAAGCACTTTTCTGAATTGAGACCTAACATCTCTGTCCACAGTCTCTTTATGAATAAGTAGCAGAATCCAGCTTTTTGGCACATTAGCTTTACAGAACATGAGTTAGTGGAAAACACTTTATGCAGTAGAATTGAGAATAACTTGAAAAACACAGAGTAAATAGAGAACAGTTATCAGGACTAGGGGGCATAAAGCCTCCTCGAAATCCTAAATTCAAATGTGCCTTAAGTCATGACTGAAATAAACTTGTTGATTTCAACTGAGTGGCTAAGAGAAGAGGCTTGTTCAGATCATTACATTGCAAGAGAAGTGTTTATAGCTGCCAGGCTTCATTCCAGAGAGAAAAGTGTCAAATAAATGCATATTTTATATAAATATATGGGCAGGGTAAGGAAAAAAATATTAAAAATATCTAATGGTAGACAACAAAGTATTGTTCTGATCTGTCTTACTAAGCATCATCGGAGACTCTCATAAACAACAGTAATTCACAGAAACAGTAAATAAAGTTTATAAATGAATGAAACCCTGATGACACCCTCTCTGAGGAGAGAAGTAGAAATAATTCCCTCAATCCTTCTGCGTGGGAAAGCCAAAGAAATGTGCAAACTAATGATATGTGAAATGAAGACTAAAGAGTTCAGGATCTAACTTAGATGATGCTTCTGACCTAAAGCACTAGTAAATCCTTTTTATTGCTGCACTTGCCATAACACTTACATGGGGAGAAAAAGACTCTTTGCTGGGAATTAAGCATCCTTTTATAACAACCTCCAGTGGAATTACAGGAATAGCATTTGTTTTCCATGGATTCAGTTATCTGGCCCCAGGAAAGCAGGATAAAGTTGAATTACGTGCCTGGGAGCTAGATCTGCCTGGTGTGTGTAGGTGAGCCACACTGCAGTAGTGTGGCCCTCCCGAGTTCTGTCAATGCGGTTGGTTGGTTGCGCATCTGCTTTAGAAACAAGGCCTGGGGACCAGTCCTGTGTCTGCTCTAGGGGCAAGGCCAGTGTGCCAGTCCTGCTTCCATAATAAAGCTGCTGTGGGAAAGGGCTGTAGGGTTGTATTTACACAATGTGCTTCACACCATGGCCATGAAAAGTTGCGGTGGCTTAACCCAGGGAATGGTGCTCAACCAGATGAGGGACAGTAATGGTTAGGATTGGCATTGCTTTCTGTGTGCCTCTGCTAGTGAAGCTGCAAGTCTGCCACTAAGAACAGAAACAGCCGTTTTGGGGATTCTCCCAGGAAAGAGCAATGTCAGAACTGACACAATGTTTGCAGTAATAAACTGTGCTGGCAAAATTCTTGCAGATGTCACCAAAATGTAAATGAACTCCACTGACTCAGGGAAGTAATCTCCAGAAGAGAGACACAGAACTTATTTGCATTTCAGAGAGAATTACAAATATCATTGCATTTTCTCCTCCTCTCAGACTGAAACTGTTGGCTCAGTGTCAACAGTGCAGAGATACATTTCTCTTTCTTGAAACTAGTTTAATACGAAGATAATAAAGTGTGTATCCCTGTGCTTGTCAGCCAGCTGTTTTTCACACGTACTTTGCTGCAGGAATCCTGATTCTCAGTAACTAAGAATACAGTATATTATACAGTACAACAGAAACACGTAGAAGTATATAGATGGTACAGAAACAAAAAGGTCACTTAACAAAAATACAAGAGATTCACTTCAGTAAGATGCAATGAGGACAGTCCACAAGCTTTTGTTGGGGCTCCAAACACTTTCTTGCCCTGAGTACTACACTGGAGATAGTAGACAGCATTTGCCTGTAAAGTACTATAGAAACCCCATTCTGGAAATATTCTCTGCAACATGAGTTAACAAGAAGGACAAGAAATTCACCTGGTGATAAGAATGTATGAACAATTTAGGTACAATACAACATCTTCATTTCTGTTGTCTGGAGAAAGGAAAGATCCTCAGGATAAAACCAAAATACACAGAGATAGTATGGGAATGTTACTTATATTTCCCACTTTTTAAAAACATAGACCAAATATGAAATAAAACCAACAGCCATAAGTGTTATGTGTTCACCATAAAGAATAAATAGCACAGTAATGCCCACTGCAGAAGAGATGAAAGCATATTAAAATAAAAACTAAAAAAAAAAAAAAAAAAACACAAAACAAACAACAAAACCAGACCAAACCTATTTCCATAGCAAGACTCTTTTTTTCCTATTTTCTGTCTTCACATAACCTATGTATTATTCATTAGAAGTAATTGCTCCACCTAAGGTAAGTGTGCTCATAAATCATCTTCTACAGGGCACAGAAAGAGCAGGAAAATTAGAATGTAACTTAACATAGAACGTAAGACATATGTGATGTGCTGCAGACAATGTTGGTTGGGTTTAATTTAAATCATCAAGGAAGAGCAGAGTTAAGGTATTAGTTACCCTTTTGGTTATTGACATATGTGATTCATTCAGTTAAAGCCCCATTCTACTCAAATGCATTGGTATGTCAGTTCACAGCCTCAGTGCCACCATCTGTCCTGAGAGAACTGCAATGCAATTTGAACACTGCTGGCCCTTTCAGTAGACACACAGGCACACAGTAGAGTTGTTCTGACAAAACTGTATCATCCTTGTACAAAGGATGACTGAACAAGCCAAAAAAAAAAGGGGGGGGGAGGGTAGGGTTTACAGTCTTGATGTATTAAATTGTGCAGAATTTGTTTATTGTTTGGTGCTTGAGAAATGGACTTGTGTCCTGAGAGATGCTAACATCCTAATGATGTGGTGTTGGGTAACACACTATTCTTTGGCACTAATGCCATGCCTTCCCTTTGAAAAGGGGAACTTTGGATACCAAGTTCCTGACACATCATCTCTTCTAGCAGGACAGAAGAAAGTATGTTGGTTATAATGGTGGTAGATTTCTGGTCATATAGCTGCCCATTGCACTGACAAGTCTAGCAAGCACCACATTTCCCTGTTGTGTAGGACACTATTTTATGCTAAGAGGGAGCTAACACAATGAAAAATAAGTGCACAGATTTTCCTTCCACAAGCTAAGAAAAGCCATGTGACCCATTATATTGGAACCAGAACTCCCTGCCACACTTTACTTAGAAGAATGGGGCACCTACAGCATCAGAGTTGTATGGTGATAGTTCTGCTCTCAGCCCTTTAGTACTTGTTTCATCCAAGTCAGAAGAGAAGAGAAGAGATAGGTTAGACACCTGCTTCTGCAGTTATGAAGGACAGGCAAACTGGCATTCACCAAATGGAAGTATAACATGCCTTAAAGTCAGTATCCTTCGTACCACTTCATGGAAACATGAAAACCTTGCTTCAGTCTGCTAAGCTGCAGAAAAAAGCCTAATTTTATCAGCAGACAATGCCAACAGGGGTGAGAAAAGCTTTTTATTAAAGGATGATAAGTGAAAGGTAAGATGAAGGCTGACATCAGGCAAACCAACTTCATATTAATCTTGATTGCGGATCATAGCACAGCAACTATTTGTGATAATATATGTATATACACATTTGTAGGAGGCAGACACAGGTTTTACGGGTTTGATGTATTCATATTAAATTATCTTGAGTAAGAATCCAAAGGACGGTGTCTATAGAGTAAGACTAATGAAATATTCCATTAATTCAAAGACATCGATCACAAATGTCACCACATCCCTACCATAGAAAGAGGTTCCATACAAACATTGCATGCATGCTGATGGGACCCATGTCTACAACCTACTCTTCTCTCCCCAAGCCTCTGAGCCCCAAATTGCCCACTGCAGCCAGGCCTGCTTTTTGTGATAACACAACTAATCCTTTTAACCCACTCTTCAACCTAACTGAACAGCCTGGTAACTGACCTTCTTGCATCTTTCTCCTGTCCACTTTAACTAAGCTGTTCTGTGCGAGGAGCAGAGAAGAGGTACTGTAGCAGATGGAAGAGGTATTAGTGTTTTCACTGGCTCTTCAATGTTAACTACTGGGACAAGTAAGTGTATTTTTATTTGGACAAAGCTTAATGAAACAACTGGTACAAATAGTCTTTGAAAATAAAGATCCCATTCCTGCAGATGAGGATTTCCTTAATATCTCCTCCATGATTTCCTCCTTCCACTCAGGAAGCTATTGTCACACTGAAGAAGCGACACCTAAAGCAAGTGTGACAGATCAACTACATGTTATTCCAAATTTCAAGAACCTTTCTCCCACACTCATTCTTGTAATTCAATACTAATAATGAAAACTAAGTATATTAATATATATACTAATATATATTAATAGATATACTTAATATATATAAAATTATATATTAAGTAAAGAAATATGTTTCTTTACAGGAACATATTAATTAGAATTAAAAGTTGTTACTTCAGGATGAGGCAAAACCTTTAAGTCGTATTTCTCTGCTTAAAATTGCTTTTAGAGCTTACAGAAAAAAAAAAATATTACCAAGATCAAAACAATTTGCCAAAATTTCAGTGGAGAAAAATAAAAATTTAATTAAAAGATACAACCATAAAAAAAGTCATTTCAAATCTAATTTGATAAGCTTACAAATAAAGATTGTAAGTCATACTCCTGACTTAAAGATGCTTGCATGGATGAACAATTCATCTGATCTTCTCTCATGGTCACTATGCATGTACATGAACACTGCACATGTAAAAGTGGTATGAATGCAGCTTTGAAAAGACAGCATTCCCCCAGCATATCTTACGGGCATCCTGCTCCTTTGGAATTCTACCTTGGTGAAGTGTCTGCTTCTTTGTAATTTTATGTTTGGGAACAATTGAGAGATAAGCAGATAACTGAGCCAGTGCACAAGATAATTTGACTGGACACTGTATTGATTCCTCCTATAATGATTCATGAACTGAAGACTTGTTCGGATAGAGGAGAAGCAGTGCAAAAGAAATTACAGGATACCCTGTACTTCATCAGTGATACTACCTCCTAGTCAGTGAGAGAGCAAAAAAAATCTTATGCTAAATTAATCAGAGGAAATAGGCACATAATTCATACAGTCCATAATCATCTTGACAAATATTGTAAATTAATGTATTAAAAATTGTTCATCACTTTTTATCTCAGTCACAGTAATTTTCTATGGTTGATACATATACGTTTCTCTTAGCAGTTTTCGGGTAACTAAACATTGATAAAGGGCAACATGAGGAACAAACATAAACATTATTTAGGCTATCTTTAATCTTTTGTCACAGAGGGTTTATCTCCAAGTAACACAGGAGATGAACAGGAGCAGTGACTGTACAACCAAAAAGCTCACTGAAGAGCCTAGGCACTTCCTGCATCAGTGATGTTGCCCATACCTTCACAAGCAGTGCTTGCAGGCTCAGGTATATTGCTGAGGCCATCTGTTTTCTGTTTTTATCATCAACCCTGTCTTCCCTGACCCAACCCTAAAATCTGGTATTTCAGGAAACTATGCAGCAGCTGCTCATTAGAAAACTGATCTCATCCCCAGAAGGATTTAACAAGATACTATTGACAAGCAACACATCAATTTAATAATCCAAACAGCATGATAATTCTTGTATCATATGCTGTTAGCACAAGGGAGACCAGAGGATCTAAAGTGAAAGTCCTTGCACTATGTGATACTCAGTACAGTCTTTAGAACTAATTGTAATACTACAACATGCACAGGCTGAGTATGATAAAACTTTAGGTGTAGCTCCATAAAACACAGTGGTTACCATACTTAACATTTCTAGCACATTTCTCCAATGCAGAAGCTATATAGGAGGTGGGATTTTATTTTTGGACAGTATTCATACCTTCACTGAGGGGGTGAGGAGACACGATAAACACCCAAACAACAGAAAACACTAACAAAAATCACACACAAACCAACCAGAGAAAGACTCTCACAAACCACCAAACCAAAAAAATAACACTTAACTTCAAATCACATTCGTTCACCTTCCTGTACCAATTTACCTCTTCCTGCTCCAAGTCATGAATGGCCTGTCATTGTAGTACAGTATCAAAACAACCCCACCACTCTTGATTAGGGCCCCTTAAAAAGATACCTCTCAAGGTTCTTTTCATTCACAGGAAAAAGGACCAGGTTTTTAAAGCTGTTCAAAGCTCTGGGACTCTACTGCTGTTGGCAGGGATTTCTCTCAAATCCTTAATTGCAAGGTCATTATGAAGATAGTGTCCAGTACAGATGACACACACCCTATTGTGTCTTGCTAGGATTTGATATTTCTTTAGTAACCCTGGAGCACCATTTTCCCCCTTTTATTACTTTCAGTGCTACATCACTTTCATGAATAAGACTTCTTCAGAATAGCATTCACTTTTCTCCAGCTCACACATTGTAATTTTACTGTGTTGTATAAAATAGGAGCTGTTTTCATGCTGTCGATTTCTTTAAAAAGAAAATCATTGTCTACTAACGTAAACAATATAATATTTAAATTTGCTCTTAATCTTTGACTGCTTTTTAATCTGGTTGTTCATGCACAAGAAATTGAAGATGCCAGAATTGAAGTTGCATTGTATACAGTTGTTATGCAAATGTTCCTCCACATAAGAGCAGGTGCATACAGTTCACATATCTGGCACATATTTAGCAATCTGTTTTGGGATGGTGATAAATTCTTCTAATGTGAACTCTTTACATCGCCCTCACACTGAAGGACATTGTGAGCTCCTATATATTGCATATATAATGTAATGTATACCTTTTTGGTAGAGAAGAAGTACGTTTAGCTAGGTTGAGTTGAGTCACCTAAACTGGTCACACGATGTGAATCCTCTTGGCCTAACAATGAGAAGAAGCCTAAGAACACAAGACATGTGTCAGCACATAGTTAAAATGAATAATTAAAGCAGGTAAGAGAAAACTGAATAAGGGGTTCCTTTTGGGGACTGGGTGGGGGGAGGTATTGCCTTTTTGGGGGGGAGTGAGTGAGGGGTGTGATTCTTTTTTGTTAACTGACACTTGTAAAAGTCTTTGCTGTTAGTAGGTATGTAAATGAAAATCCCTTTGCAGTCATGCATGATCAGGGACAGAAATAACTTCCTTTTCTGTTATAAAGTTGTTTGTATCCTTCTGCATGTATTTGCCCATGCACTGGAAAGGGGATGGAAGACGATTTTACACCAGCCAAGATAACAGTTTCTCCACCAAGAATCCCATAGATTTTTCAAAGATTCCTTTTTTTTTTTTTTTTTTGCCTTCCAGTGGATAAACAGGAATAATTTAACAGACACATTTCCAATAGGAATATTAATGGAAGTAAGGGAGGTAGGATGGTTTGTATACAGGCATGTTAGGAGTTAACAGCAGGGCTCAGGAAACAATCAAAGGTCAATTTCTGATGCAGTGGTGGGTTAATAGTCAAAGGAAGGTCATTCTGCCTCACCCAAAATAACAAATTGGCCCAGAGATGAAATCACAATTCTGATAAACTGCAAGAACAACAGTTAGTGACCTTTAACATTAAAGATAAAAAAAAAAAAAAAAGACATGAACACACAGGTGAAAGCTGGATGGAATTTCCCTCTTCATGTTATTCCAGGCAGTATCCCTAAAAGGGCTTTCATTTACATAGCTTTATTAGAACCACCCCTGCAGGGCACACTTATTTTCTGGTCCCTTTCGTGCAAAAGACCACATTTTAACAAATAACTTAGTTTTAAGAACAGGGAGGACTACCCACAGCCTAGACTCCTGATTGCTGGGAAGGTGATGCAGCACACACAGATGTTTCTGAGGACATCTGCAAATGAGAGTCTTTCTTAGCATGTCTTCTGTTTGAGGAGCAACCCAGGACCTCTCCCAACTTCCCAGCAGGCAGGAAGGTGTAGCACCTAATCTCTAGCAGCTATTGATGTTTGCCCTCTGCCAAATTAGCCTTGAATTGGAAATTACATTTTTATATTTAAAATACACACATATACACACTGCAGTTGATATAGAAAGGTGAATAAATGTACTTTCCTAGAGACTACTACTTGGCTTGGGGGGGTAGGTGGTTGGTTTATTTTTGAAGGTCTTCCTCTGCCATCTCAAACCAACATAAAATTATTTATAAGGAACTACATGGAACCTAGAAAATAAGCTGTATATGGAAGGCAGCTGAATGTCTTAAATACTTTTTTTTAAACCCAGTTGAGCTCTGCTGGCCAAAGATAAATAGGGGAGAGTGCAGAATACATGGCATGTAGGAAGCAGCCCAGCAGATACATGGAATAGTGTTTGGCTATATGGCAAGTCCTGTACTCCAGTATACCAATCCTCTTACCAAACAGGTCTTTTATAACAAGCAATAGGGATTTTAAAGAAAGGGATTTTTTCCCCATGTTTTTTCTACAGATCCTTCAGTGTCCTTGAATTCTAGTGGTTCCTTTAGCAACAAAAAGACTAGGCAACCGAAATCATCCCAGGAATCAATATCTGGTTTGCTATTATTGACATTCCTGCAACTGTCTAAGCAGAAGTCCTAGTCCTATTCAGACAAAATATGAGGGAACGAAATCGCTTCTTAATGGTATAAGAAAACTCCTTGATTTATGCAGGCAGATACTGCTGTAGCTTTTACAGACAGAAATGATAACCTAAGTCATACTATAGACTTTGTATAGCCCGTAATATCAACACCATAATTCATATGGAAGTGCATAACAACACTGCAAAACTGTTTGAATTATTTTTTTTAAATTACATCACCTGGAAAGACAGACTGTGAAATACCATATATGATCTCACCCCTTAAAGAAAGGTCTTTGAATTCCAGCATTTAACAGGTTTCTGTCTTGGCACACAGTTCCTTACATAACTAGCTAGATCAGTATTTTAGTTGTCATTATTTTCTAAGCAGTAAGTGTCAATCATTACTCTACATATTCTTTTTTTAGTAGATTACTACTACTGAAGACTGGAGATGAGGTTGGAAAAAGAAATAGAATTATTTCGATAGAAAAGTCCTAACTGAGGAGCACCACATAGCCACA